AAACTGGTCGATCTTAACAGGGCGTATACAAACTAATTCGAAACTATGAGTAATTCACACTATATATCTGTATAAGGGAATATGAAATCCGATACCAATATACTTCGCAAATCTGATTTCGCAAGACATATTACTAAGTCGATAATCTATTGCTGCGCTTTATACTGGTGCGCTTTCCCGTTATGCGTCTTGAAAAATAGTACGGTAAAGTGAATGGTAATTTTGGATTTGTTCAATGAACTTAATTACAGTCCAGCGTCCATGCGTGGGTTTGAATCCCACCGAGGCTACTGAACTTTTCTAGATCGACATAGAAACTTCAAATCTGCCAAACAACAATTTGAACTTAATTAAGTCCAAGCAAGTCAGCAGTTTGTGGAAGATATTGTAGCTGCGCTTTCTGAACTTCAGAAATCCTAACTCATTGCTGTCACGATAAACAAGCTTGTGTCTTGGTAAAAGCTGTAACTTTCTCATATTACTCCCGTTGACATTGTTACCGACAACCTGATCGGAAACGAAAAGACGTAAATGACGACAGAAATTCTTAGGTCGCGTGCTCCGCAAATTCAATGTCTACTTCCTCCTCTTCCCGTTTTGAGCACTGTCTGTGTGATGACCGCTCCATTGTTCACTTGCCCCAGGCAGGATATGACCTGATTTTTTATATCAAACTCGGAGTTCACCCAGCTTACGTTGTGATGTGAAATTTAATTTGAAAATATTCATNATTTCAACGGTTGATAGTAAATGTTCTGGGCGTTTAAATTGTGTCATTTAAGGATTGGGGCATAACGGAATGGCAGACGAGAAATAATTGGTTTTGTCCTCAATCATTATAGTTAATAGATGCCAATAAGAGAAGAATATCACTTGTAAAACAGATAAGCCTAGGATTATGAAACTGTCTGGGTTTTAAAAATAACGATAAAATCAATTCTATCAATCTCCATTTATTGTCACTATGGATATTACTTTTGTTACAATCAGCAATACGTTTTATGACAATTATCAAAGTCTATTGAAACCAATGCATAGCGAAATGTGATACGTCTTCAGATGAAACAAATGTTCATCAAATTGACCAAATGCTTTCGCGTGGAAAATCGCGCAAAATGACGAACACGAAAAGCATAAAATGCAACAAGATGAGTTTCATAAAAAGAGAAAACATTGAAGCGGAACTAGTTCGAATTGGTATGTCTGGTTCGATTGAAACGACAGCGAGATAAGCTTAATCGCGATCGCCAATCAATCACCGATAATCGAAATGTTTAATGAGAGGAAAGAATGAGAAGTTATTTATGCGCGGTATTCGAATAAAATTGTTCTATCTGGCTATTTCTTCGTGACTCTCCATGTGCGGACCTAATGCCTATATTTTGTAAACATAGGTTGAGGTGTATCCGAATATCAGAGAATAGATTGCGTTCGAGTAGCAAAATTTACGGTTATAATCGGCCCCGAATGCAGAGTATTAAGTATAAATATAAATTGTGATATTGTACTCATGCAGTTGTGGTGGTGGTGGTGGTGATGTGAAACGATCAACCATTAACGACACGATCAATTCACTTGGAATTGAAAGCGTTAAAGTCCAGCTGTCTGAATACGTTAAAAGTAAAAAAGGGTAAACGAAATAGAGGAGTAAAACAAACTAACTAATATCCAGTCGCGTAATCTTTACGCTTCTTACCGGTCCACTGGCAACGAGAGTCGGTGATACTACCAACGATTCTTTCTATCTGGGATTATGAGGTCAGCCAGAAACCCGTATGGCAATAAGGGCTAGAGTATCTATACTACAACCATTAAAAAATTTTAAATCGTTGTGCTCAATGTTAGTAGTGACGGTACAACTGTGTTCGTCGTTACGTTTTCCAATGAAATGTCCTTGAGTACCATATTCCCGTCGAATTTTGATTTCTCACTTTGTTCTGTATTTCCATTCTTTCAGCTCCCTGTATGTTTCTATTTTCAAGAACATGAAATTTTCTAACAATAAGGTTTGCATTACCTTGCTGTCCCTACTCACTTTCATTGGGCAAAACTCTTCTCAACGACAATTACAGCATAACCTCAAATTTACCATCCAGACTAGAAGTTAATGTGGTTAAAGATACATGACGTTTATACTGGAAGAAAATAAAATTATTTCATCTATTGAGCTAACGACCGATATGTTTGATCGGGTGAAAACCTTTTAATTTTGCCAAAATGCAAAACATAATCTGCCAATGTGGGTGCGGAGACACTTAAATAGGCAGAACAGAAAAGCAACTACGTAATCGGGTTTTAGAACACATTTCGAACTGGGTTCAAAGCAAGGTTGCCAAAACATACATAAACATTGTATTTGTCTGCAGTAGGCACCATTTGAGATGCAACAAAATCGTCCAGGACATAAATCGTGCAAGTTTGCTATACTGGCTTCTCTTTTCAAACATGGAATAGCTGTATTAGATATCCCCGTGTGCGAACTGTTCAATAAACAATCAAATATGACTGCCCATGAATCCCAAATCCACAGCGCTCTTCGCTTTCTCAATGTGATCCTGCTTCAGGCATGTTTCTAATCATGTTTTCTAATCACTCATTCGTTATTATCACGAAAAACATATAAGCTAATCAAGTGGTGCGCAACCTGACTAACACTTCAGTTAGTTTCGGAGAATTGAGTTCAACATTCTAAGTTTGACGGTACAATAAATCTAGATTGGGAACTGGAGAACTGTGGCAAGCACCAATTGGTTGGTTCCACCATGTGCTGGATGCGCATCCATAAGACAAAGTGAACAGACTATATTCATGTTTGTCAACCCGTGTATTGTATAACCCAATGTCTACGTTTAACGCAATTATTAGAATCGGGACTAATGATATATGAATCCTAGTGGGATACCATCCGCTCACCACCGCTTAAACGGTATACAGCCGTCCGTTTCCATTGTGGCGTAAATCAGATAAGGAGGTCAAATAGTGATGAATGACTTGCTATTCCATTTCCATAATGATCTCTAGCCGGCAGAAACAAAACAAGTTTGGCATATAGACTGAATCCAACTATTGAGGGTCGTGCAACTGAATAATAAGAGCAGAACGAGAAACCAGTAAATGAATAAAATAATGAGCAAATACATGATTTGATTTCTTCAGGCGTCTCAGCGCTAAGCTTGTTTCGTCAATCAGCCAAAAATACGATTATATAGGTCACATTGAGAGTGGGTGCGCGAATGGAAAACATGGCTCGGGAGGGTTTTATGGAATGGAATGTGAGTTTACATAACTATATCAGTCAAGTAATCAATGACGTGATCATTTTCACCGATTTTATTTATATGCCTGTTGCATAATCTGATTACCGTTTGAAAAGCATGCTAATTCTAGGGCTCTAAGAATTTAGATAGCAACCCGCTGTGAATTTTTCTGAATGACTTAGTTAGGTTAACTGAATAGTTTGTTTCGCCTCGTTGGGTATCAATCCTAGGTGGGCCGTTATTTTTTCATAAATTCGTTGGTATTTCATTTTAGGCGGTGATTTCGAATACAATTGTTCAAGAGTCTGCTGTGGTTAGATCGGTGTAGTTTGTTCCAAAAGACACAAACTAAGGGGTACATAAGAAATGAGGCGGTTTTCATCGCTATCCTATGCTCATAAAACAAACATTTGAGTGAATAATTATCACCTCCTTCAGAATGTCATTTTTCTAGTATAAGAAACGCATGTACTGTTTTTTTTCGCACTATTCGCCGATTTCCTTTTCATACGAGTCATTTCTGTGTACTTATGTGTCAATTCAATCCTTAACTGAGTTGGCGTCCGTAACTTGTGATTCCTAGTCGATTTTGGATGCCGTTGAGCGTAACCTTCGTGTTCTTTCACGTTACATTGGATTAGATGTTTCTTGCACTTCAAAGATAACTGGATCTTGTAGTTTGTTAACTGTTTGATCCGAGTAATCTACGTACGAGATAGGAGTACGTCTAAGACCTGGCGAGAATAGTTGGGTTCCATCATCAAAGTGAACTGAACGCTCTATCGCGATCAGTTAGTGTGGTCCGAGAATTTTTTGGAACTTCAAGAATCCAAAGTCAAAAATCAAATCATCAGTTTCACACAGGCCTGGTGAGAATTCTTCGCAGTTTACCATTCTAAAATGTCTATATGATCACACCATCGAGTAGCGCCCTTGTTACGGTCTAAATGTGTTTAGTAATCTTTTTTCTTTTAATTTTACTTCCTTTTATTGAACACACGGGGTACAATTCTCAGGAAGGGGGAAGCGGCCAATCAATGGGCTGCCATGGAGAAAGTCAGGCGGTGGTGGTGGGGTTCGTACACACGTCCCCCGAAGTGGTAATTTGGTGATGTTACCACCAGGGCACCATCGAATTATATTTTCGAATTTCACCAAGCCAATCCGTGCTTCAAATGATATTGCTCGTTTTTGCAGCACTGGTAGCAGAATAAGAAAGAATAGGCACGACTGACCGATATCCATGTACTCTCCTTCAGTTCAGATCACGTGGTTCATTGTATTTTATTACTTGGAGATAGCTGAAACTTTCAGACTCCTGGCTAACACTTTTGCTCAACTCCTTGCATCACACGCAATGTACAGACACACAGATTCTGACAGGCTTCTGTTGTTTTCCGAATCTGTAACTACTCTGTTCGGAGCCTAACTGAGAACCCATCTACCTGCTCGGTTGAAAGATACATGAATCAATGATGTCCTCTGTCGAAGTGAAGTGAACGAAAACATCATTATTCCTTTTTAAACAAATGCAAAACTTCACAGGTAATGTTTATTAGTAAGAGGATTATCTCAACTTTTAGGTGCCCTGTAAAGTTGGTGGATCGGCTCTTGGTTTAGTTTTTACTGATGCACGTTTCATGCTTCTAAAGCTGGATCCTAATCCTGATAGTTAATGCATATAGATTGATAGCATAATGCAAGACAGATATAAAGGCACTAATGGTCACCTTCGTGTACTCGCATCACTTGAACTGAAGCTTCGTACGTTCGTCTACTTGATATTACAACATGATCCTTGCGGCTGAAATCTGAAGGTGTTTCCAGTTTGTTCACTTATATACGGTATACAAACAAAATCTATAGCTTATAACAGATACTATGGGGACATCGATTCATCATTGTTTTTTCCTTCAAACTGAAATCCCTTTACATACCGGTCGGACGAACCTTCTTGCGAAATCTTAAATGCATACTGGTGCAATTTCCCAGGGCTTGTGACTGCTCGGAAGGCTAGTCCCACAGCACGTAGAGAATGCCAAATGCATTGGACTTTGAAACAATCTTTCCTGATATGAACTTGAATAACGAACACAACAACATAGTATTGCACAATTTACTTCCGGAAACGTTTCGTTGGATCTCTTCCGGTTCATACTACAGACGAAAAGTATAATGGAAACTAACTAGCAACAGTTACTGTGGATGAGCTGTTGGTGTCAACTTCTTTCTATCAGGACGGGGATGGAGTTGCAAATAACTATTTCTGCTTGCACAGTTCGGGTTTCTGTTGTGTTGTGGCAAGCGACTCTGTAAACTAGGGAAACCATGAGTTTTGCGTGCCGAGAACACTTTTGAATGCCACGGCCACGTTCACTGGATGTCCAGTCTCTGACAAGTAACAAACGATCAATGAGGCTGGCAGATCCCAGTGTCTACTTTTTTATGAATTCTACAGGAAAATGATTCGTTGCATTACTTTGCTAAGTCATTGAATAAAATTGATTGTTTATAAAGCTTTGAATGATTGACCTTGAAGTCAATATTTAAAATGATTTTCAACTAATTATAACTTACATTGCAAGTTACGTGATCCGTTATGCGTTATTACGCTGTTCTCTCTTTTCATCTTTCTTCTGTACTCCCCCCACCCCTGGTTGTGACCTATGTGATATCTGACACGGATGTCTTTGTCACTTGGTTGTTGAATACTGGGTGCACTATTTGCCGGAATCCAAACATGTGCTTACGCATACCGGAATCCGTGTCACATCGATTTCCGGCTTGCTCAGTTTGTGGCACATCCGCACTGTCAACATTTGCTCACCACACTTTGGTACGACCAATTGCCCGGCTGGCGTAAAAGACATCCACTTACCAAATTCTTTCTATGCTTCTGTTTCATCGTGATCATGCCCATTCTGGCCCCAATCTATCTGCTCCATCCACACGGAAAAATTGGACAACTGATGCGTAGCCCGTTGATCAAATTTATCAATCACAGCGCCTCGTTTGCCATCTTCATTATCCTTCTATTGATTGCTTCAATGGACAGTTCTACACAGGAAAGTTTGCGCACACGAAGTGAGATACGCGGACCGGATCCGAACAAGATTGAGATATTCATTTTGTGGTGGGTGATCGGTAAGTTCCCATCCCATTTGTCTAACAATTTTTGAACATCCATAGCATGCGTATTCACCTTATGCTGCTTCTCCTCCACCCTAGCTATCGATCAACGTGCACACATAGCGCACCTTCTCCATTTCTCATATATTTTGGCCTAACCCCATGTGAATAACTCACTTAAATTTCTTTTCCAGGTATGTTCGGTAAATTTAATTTGAGAAACAATATATTTACTGCAATGATTACACGCGTTCACGGTAGGTTATATGCACATGTATTGTGTCATCTGTACAAGTAAAATGATGCTGTTCTTAGGTATTGTAAACAATTAGGCACAAAACACAAAAACCTAAGGCTGATATATGTGGGTATTGGTTAAAAAACACTGAATAATAGGTTTATGTGTCCTGCTTCGAAGAATCGAGAGTGCTAATTATGGTTAACTGTAAAAGAAACATTCTCTTACCTACAGGATCACTTTCTGAAGGTATATGGTTTGTTGAGATTTCCACATATTAATTGTAGTTGCGAATTACGCTTTCAGGTATTTTCGAGTTCAGTGAGTTGAGATTAGCACTCACCTATATATTTCGCGATGCATACAGACGTGAGTAATTCAAGCAAATGCCTTTCTAGAGAGACAATAGTTATTTACGCTGATAAAATGCTTTGATTTGACCGGAAAAACTGAACGAGCGAGCAAGAAGAGGAGTGATGGATAAGAATGGTCAAGCATGCTTGAATTTCTCGTTGTTCTATGGTATATAAACTTCACCAAGCGATTGGTATAATACTTTACACATGGGTAACGCTTGTTTGAATTCAACACCTAGTGAATAAAATGGTAGTTGCAATGTCTACTAGAAACCAATTCCCGCTGTGAATGAATCGAGATAGTAGTAAGTGTTTCTGTCTTTGCGTAGCTCCTCAGCATTTGGAATGAAATTCGACAAAGATCGTTAATCAACACAATAAATCATAAGAACGAACGCTTGGTCCATCCGCAAGACAATTTGACATTATTCTCGAAATCGCTCAAGGTTAATTGACATTATTCCAAAACCATCCTTCCTGTGGAAATCAGTGGGAATTTTTCCAGGATACAGTTTGAAGGAAGATGAGTCCATGAAGCGTAATCTGCTGCATAAGGTCATTAGGTCCTAGGTTTTGCTAACTTCAATTTTTCTCTCTTTGGGAACAATGAGTAAGACATGAAATCTACATGTAAATAAGTACACAGTCAGAAAGGGGAACAGGAAGACAGATGAATAATTAAATGGAGAAACGGAAAGACAGACAGAATCTGATTCATGTGATCCATTTACGAATTCCCATTAGGTGGTTGATACAATCCAGCGGGAAATAAACACACAGCAAGCAGTTTGAAATATTTGACAAGCTTATAAAATTCAATTTAACCCGGCAAAATTACTGAAAGCGATACATTTTGTTAGGTGAATGAATCCCCTAACGAACCATGACTGAACAGGATCTATTAGGGAAGAATGAATACTCATAGGTAACTACCATCTCGTATTAACTACAAATAAAAAATAGAAGACTAGTAGTTGCTTGGTGAAAAAGTTAATGAAGTCAGTTTCATTCGAGTATGAATTCAATACGAGTTCGTCATCGGAGATGGAGTAAATTGCATTTCCTAGACCACCAGGTCCGATGTGAGCCATTGCGAATCAAACAATCATTGTGCGTGTATGTATGTGTACACGTTCGGTTCCGTGAAAGTAAAGACACCATCCAGGAGTATACTGAGCTTACAGTTTGTGTCGACCGGTACCATTCAGCTGTAACTACTCACTACAAAGTTAATTCATTGTTCCCAAACACAAACGAAGGGTATCACGAGTGAAATAAAAATTCCACGTGGCGTCTGAAAGATGATCTATAAAAAAAAACAGGTAGCATAATAAATTGGTATAATTATCCAAGTAGTTCCGCGTCTTTGTAAAACTTCTTCAATGAAGCATTTGCATCAGAAAAACAGGCTTTAAATCGCCAATCTGCACTCTGAATTCAATTTCCCAAGAGAATGGTGAAAAAGCCTCACGGTTGAGCAAACAGCTCAGTGTCGGTAGGTGCTTTGTTCATTGCTCGTTTACTGGTGTGTCCCGTTTGAATGAATTAATCAAACTTTGAGTTTAGAACAATTGATGATTAGTTTTCAACGGAAATTCAGTCGCATTTGATGAATTCACCCCAATGAGAGGACAGTGTTCCTCCCGGAATGAATGGGATGAGTGAACCAGGCGGAAGCATTGACCAAGGAAGCGAAATGATCCATTCACGGTGATGACAAAACTCTCCATCGTCCAGTCCAGTTACTCACTCGCTCACTTTTCCGATCGCATACGCATTGCACCGAAGCCAAGCTATCCGGATGTCACCTCATTTGCCTAATTTGTTTCGATAGAAAGCGAGACGTGATCGATCAGAAGTTGAACAATCTGGCGCTTCCTGAAAACACGTGTCTAGCGAGATGTCTGCCATTCTCGTTTTCAAAGCGGTACCAACTGCGCTCACTTTTGACGAATGTGATCTGCAGCCCGGTCTCCCTTGACCGAAGTGAATTGATTTGACAAAATCACACTCACCAATTCTTACAGATTTCAGGCCGCTCAATGTCTTGGGTGAACTACGTGTATCCCTCAATTTGTTTTTTTTTAACTTGCGCATAAGCTGTGCAATGAATTCCGATTATGGGAGCTGTGCTCGCATAATTTCAAGGGATTAAAAATTATGGGCCGGTTGCCTGCGCTTTTATGTTAAAGAAAACGTTTGATGAAAGCACTCGGTTAAACAGTAGGATAACAATTTCGTCTTAAATCAATCCTATCCAGTTGGCCCAAAACCAGTCACTATCTGCTCCTGATATCATTGAATATGTGTACTCTGTGCGGCATTCGGTATCGAAAACACTGCTATTAACCTTCCGATTACTCGTGAAATAGGCCAACGCCTTCGGATCACTTATATGCGGACTACTTATATGTTATATACCAGCATGAAGCAAAGCGAGTGACAGATCACATCATCCTAGATAGTAGTTCTTTTAATCGGAAGTTGTTTACTTGTTTCAATAGAAAAGATCTGGTTCCTTTCCTGCTCTGATGTTTTCGGGGTGCTTTGTTGTCTTCACTCGTTTTCTCCTCTAGTATTTCCAATATTCTCGTTCCTATGGGCTGTATACACAACAAATATATTGATGAGGTAGTAAATGAACGTGTCATTGTACACTAACTGCTTCCCCTTTATCTATCGCAATCGCTTGAATGACATTCTCGACTAATGCCTTTGCCGAAAAATCACCTAATGTGCTAATTTTGCCCGATCCGGTATGTGAATATTAAAATTATACCAAACACCGATAGGGTCCGGTTTGGATGTTCTCTCAAACATTCCCTTCCATTACCCACGGTTGGATAGACTTTTACAAGAAATCCGGAGTTATCTTTTGATTCATTCAGGCTAAAAACAAACACTTCTTGTTTCTCGAAATAAAAACCTTTAGGTTTATAACTGTTTGTAGCGTTCCAAAGTAGCAACAAAGCTCTTATATATTCCCCAGAGTGGACAAAAAGTCTTTTCTTGATCTCCATTTGATTGATGTAACTAATATTGTCGTAGTTGAATTTGGAAGCAACTTGATGTTTGCAATAAGCCCAATGATAGAATATTA